CCCAAAAACCTTCAGCTTTGCATCTTTCTTGATTTTTAACCCTTCCGCTCTCAAGCTCCCAGATTCCCCTCATTCCCACGATGATGTTTTATGCTGAACGTTGTTACGTTTCCTACTCGTGTGTCGTAAAAGTTCTGTTATTTCTCTATTTCTCTCCTTCTCGATCCTACCATCATTGTTCTCATCCTCGTCTGTTTTTTCCTGAACATTGTTTCCTTTCCTCCCTTCCCCCCCATCTCTTTGTCTTTTCTTCGCCATCTTTATTTCCTCTTTGCCTCTCTTTCGGATGGACAGATGAGGAGTCATGCCCAGTGCACATTGAGGACTAGGTATGGAGTCATGGTTAGATGAAGGTTCAAACATCAGGGGGACAAATTTTATGTCTCCTGTTTGTACATAGAAACAAAACTGTAATAGGACTAATAATCACAACCACATTTTTTCCACATTTTGATTTGATTTTGGCTCTTCAAAATAGTTTGCAGGTATCCTTCATCCAATTCAACTGCAAAAGGTGGTTTTATAAAGTAATAAAAGCATTTTTAGCTATTTTTTTTAAATCTATTTAAATCAAAACATACTTACTTTTCTATCTTTACTGGGTAAAGAAATTAAAGGATGTGCCATGTGTTGTTTCCAACTGATTAAAGTGATTTTTAACGAACAATTGCAGTGTGGGTCTAAATGTTGATAAAACATGCATCTTTAATGTGCCCCATAATGTGTAGTATGTGTTTAATAGGCTGGAAAATTTAAAATTCAGTTTTCTGCTGCATCCTGATTCAAACACCATGTTTTATGCAGAGAAAGTTGAAGTAATGCGACCATTTAAATACCTCTTGAATTGATTTTGTAGCCTTTTTGAACATGACTGAAACAATTAATCACATTAGTCTTGATAAATCAAGTATTGAAATTTTCATCTAATTTAGTAATTGATTAATCATAGAGTATACAAGTTAAAAAATGCTAAAACTTCTATAAAACAGGTTTTGCTGTCCAATTATTGATCATGAATTTCAATAAATAATCAACAGATTTAGTCCCCCACTATACAGATGTTAAGTCAGATGTTGAAAGTATTTTTATCTGCAGATGCATCCCTTGGATTAAATGATAAAGCAAACATTAAATGAATGCTATGTTGATGCATGTTAGGTAATTAAATGCTTATTTTATTATTTTAAAAAGAACATATAAAAGATGTTCAATTTTAGTATTAATATATAATTCTGTAAAGAAATGGGTTCAAGTAGCTAAATATAAAATCTCAGAATATTTCAGTTTTTTTTTTATCCGATTAATTGAATAATCACTAGAATAAATTAAATAACCATTTGATGCATCCCTACACATGGTTGTATATTTGCGTCTTCTAATGTAATGGTGCTTGAGGGAACGATCTGGTGAGTGTTCAGGTTAAAAAGGGCTATACTGGTTTAAATTAAACCCTTTCTCCTGTGAGAAATCAATCAACTTTAAAATCAAAATAGGTTTTTCTTTAACATTCTTCAATCTGTTCTGTGTGCATTGATTATTTAGTGTAGAAATGTAAATAAAATTCAACACAGTATGACAAGGGAACGGAGTAATTGTTCTGTTTCTCTCTTTTTCAGACTTCATGTATGTCGGGGGCTTCAGGCCTGCTCTGGATCCGCTCTCACAACACATCTCCACCAGCAACATTAATCTGGCGGAGCAGGGGGCGGAGAACAGGGACGGCCAGAGTCCCAAACATCCCCGCCGCGGACCGCTCATCGTGTAACCAGTCTAAACCCATTCAGCCCCCACCCTGCCCATCGGACTGTGGGTCCCGACCATCCGTCTCAAGATTTCTGTCGCCGCTGGAAACCGGCTGGAGTAAAACGAGGAAGGAAAAGGAATCACATTTTACATTGTTGGTGCACTTTTATCACACGTTTTTCTTGTTTTGTCATCAGTGACTATTTCTGGGAATGATTATCCTTCTGCTATTTTATTATTTATTACCTGTAGGGTTATATGAGCGCTCTGTATTGTGTTAGTGTCTTTAGAAAAATACATGCTGCTCCTCTTTCTCTACCTTCTTCCTTCCTTCTTACTGACCTACCAGCCAAACAGTCAGGGGCTACTGTGATCGGCAATCTGATTTATTACTACTAACTTCTTCCTCTGTGTTCGAAACTGCTATGAGTGAGTGGTGGGACACTTTGATGCTAAACATCCGCTCTCACTGGACCTCCTTACCGACGTCAAACAACGCTGACCCATCGCTTCGGATCAGGGAGCTTCATTCTCAGCCTTCGCATGCAGCTTTTCATGTTTTTCCTTCCATTCCCGCCACGCTTTAGAAACTCCTGAATGTAAATTTAGAAGAAGAAGAAGAAAACTTCAAGAAACGGTGGCCAAAATAACTTGGGAAAATAGACATAAAATAGAATGTAGAACAGCGACGGTGGACTTCATTGAATGGGGAATATTCACACCTTAAACTTTCACTCAAACTGGAAATAAACTTTGGACAGAACCTTCCATTACCATCCTCTCCTTTATTTTAGCATGTCAGTATTAATGTGGTGCAACAGCAAGTACGACCAAGCAATAAAAAAACCTGCACCTCCATCTGTTCACCTCCTGCACTAGTTCTTAGAGCAGACTGTGTTTGCACTGGCCTATTATACTTCAAACCTTTAAGTATGTTCTAATTGTCTTCTCCTACTTTGATGTTGCCATTATGAAGGGAATCATGGTGAGGAAAACCTCCTGCAGGGCATTTGAAAATGACGTAGCAAGGATTTTCCTCCACCCTCGTCCTCCCCGAAACCTCTCTGATCTTCCCGATCCGCCCGCCTCCTCTCGTTTGTGAGCCTTTAGTTGTTTTTGGTTTTGTAAAACTTTTGATGTATATCTCACCTGTTGTCAAATTGTTTGTGTTTTAATTTGTTGCAGAACACTGTGCTGTTTCTTAGAATGTGGATGAAAATATGTGAACATTTCGTAAAGAGGTTTACATAATCGTGCAAACATAACCGATAACTCAAGAGGAACAATATCTACAATTAATGCACTATTAGCTGACTCCTAGACGACACTTTCCGGTGCATGAGGTGATAGAAGTAAGCATGTTAGTCTAGGTCAGCCTGCACCCTCCTGTAGACTTGATAATGGACCACTGCACAAATCTGAAGCGGTACCATCTCTTTCTGTAGTGTTACATTTCGATTGTTGGCGCCCTGTTTCTATTGGCCTGCTCAGGTCAAGACTTCTGCACTACTATAACCCAGCTGCAAACAGTCATGTGATCACAGTCTGAATGTGCAGACAGAGCTGCTTTCTGGCACCAGTCTCAGTATGACATCACAGGAAATTCACAAAACCCCACTTTTCTAGAGTGAAAATGAGAAATTGACTTAAACAGACAATAAAGATTTTGCAACTAAACGACCCGAGTGATTTTTTGTTTCCTTTTTTTTTTCTACTGAAACGTCTGTTATACTGACCTTGCACATGGAAATGCATGTCAATAAATAAACATTAAGAAGTTAGTTTATTAAATGAGAACTACATGTATCATTATACATATAGATTTTTATTGTTTATTTCTAGTTGAAGTAGATGACTAAATTTGTTTTTTTTTTTAAATCAGAATAAATTAAGTTTATTTGTATAGGACATTTCAGCTACAAGGCAGCTCAAAGCGTTTAAATTATAAAAACACAAAAATCAACAGTTGAAACCTTTGCCATAATATACATGAATGTAATATTATGGCACACAGTAACTGGTGATTTAACTAGGCTCTATGAGTAGTGGTGTACACTACATAAAATGATCAACGTTGCTTGTTCATAGATTTTGTATTGAAGCATATTTATTGGAAAATTGAGTGGAAGAAAAAGCTTTTGCAAAAAATGTCCACAAGCAAGATAATACTGGAGCTGTACTGGAGTTGCTGTGCAGATAGTCCACTGGTTTTTCTACCAGTTTTTCCTTTTCCCACTAACGTCCTTGAAAATATTGTTTTAGCATTGAGCTCTCATTCTGTAGACTTCGGCATTGTCATAACATAAACTTTCTGTATCATAAATCTTATTAGTGACTTTTCTACACCTGCAGTCGTCATAATTAGACAATCTACTTAACACTTAAAATCAATACCATATTATCATCTGACAAATACAAGGGCCTTCAACATACTGAGTACTTATACTGCATAGTATGCACACACGCTTATCAATAAGCTAATATTACTCTTTTAAAAATCACTTTTTACTTGTATTATATAAAATCCACATTTTCTTAAAGATTAAACTTTGGTGTTTAATAAGTTGCAAACATGTGTTCATAAACGCTATTATACATGAATGCATGAAATTGTCTGTGTAATAAATCTGTATAGTATAGAACTTTTTCATTCAATTTATTGACAAGTTTATACGTCATTAAATTCATTGAGTTTATTCATTGGTGCAATGCTCTTTTTGTGGTTATTAATCAGTTCATGTTGATTATTAAGGAGAGACGTGGTGTTTACAGTTAATCGGGTTCTTAATGGCGAGAGACCGACAGGAGACAATGACGACATAAGTGGGTTTAAATGGGGAAAATGTTCATAACCTTGTAGCCTGGGTGATCAAGTTCTGTTCAAATCAAATTTCTCCTTCTGTTTTGCGGTTGGCCGCTGTCCAAGCTTTGCGTCATCTGTCCCGTAACTGCACTCACATTCTGTGTACAGAGTACAAATTTGCCATATTCTTCTTCTCAGTGACAGGAAGCAGTAAAATCCCATTATCTCTGCCTCTGAGCACACAACCTCCCTTTCTACCGAGTTTGGATTTTTGTCACTTTCTACCCAAAACAATCATAGCTATCATTGGCTGTCAGGAGAATCCAAGTTAAACTTGATACATATCAAATAGTCTACTTCTCCTCCCTCTGTAAGCTAATTATGTGCCATATATGTCTACATGCAAAGTTTTTTTCCATTTCAGGCAGGAGAGGAATCGTTTCTGTGAGCAGCCTTCAGCTGAGAATAAAAGACCCTCAGCTCAAACAGCAGAGTCGTGCAAAAAGCTGCAGAGATGACCGGCGCTGCCTTCCTCCTGCTGCTCATCCTGACTGGTAAGTTTCTTGAACCTAATTACTGAAACCAATGTGATCAAAGGTTTCAAATGAAGTAATTTAACCAGCAACCTATAATCTCTGCATGATTTCATCAAAAACAAATAATAAAAACACCCTAAAAAAATAGTAGTTGTAGATGAAATTATAGTTTTCTAATTACATTTTAAATTGGATTTTCAATCATCTAATGTAAGTGAAAATTGTTTTTGTTTTTCTGAATAAATAGTCATTACTGTCTAGTTAGTGTGAAATTTCTAGATTTTTTTTAGAATGTATTTCAAATTGTGTAACAACTAAAAGATGCCTCTTTTTTTATTAGTGGGTTAATAAAATGTTAATAAACAATAAACTATATAAATGTACTTTTATTATTTTCTTGAGAGAGGATACATGCATTATATTGATTTGTAGCTAAAATCTATAAACTCAAATTGTATTTTTTTCAAAGTGTAAACACTTTATAATTTCAATTATATATGTTTTTAAAAATTGCAGAAATCCTTGACTCTTTCAAAAAAGAAAATGAAAACATATAAAGAGTACTAAAAATAATTAATCATGTTTATAATTAAAAGTTAAAATTTAGTTTAAAGAAAATTACATCTTCCAAACATGTACACATCATCACACATATGGATAATGTGCTATTTATAGTATTTCTATAGATTATATATTTAAAACCTACTCCCAAAAAACCAAAGCACAGATAATATAAGACAAAGAACAGTACAATGCAATATAGGGAATAAATTGTTTGTTGAAACAGACAACATGTACAATAGTTTCACAAATGTAGCATTTGTCTTATTTTAAGAGTTTAATATGTAAAAACTAGATTTTACAGAACAATGTTGTTTTTCTTGAAATCTGAATTAACAGTAAATTTTGAAAGGAAAAACTACTTTAATAAACATGCAACTTTTAAGCTATAAAACAATAAGACTGCAGTGTGATGCTGACCTTTAGTTTGTGCCTAAGATTTCCAAATGAAATCCTGCAGGATGTCTGTTGTTCTGTAGATGGCGGTTCCTGCAAAGTGTGCAGCTATCAGGATGTTCTGGACTACCTGAACCTGACAGCGGACAACAGCGTGTTTAAACTGACCCGGCCCGTTCGGGACCACACAAACATCACTGTGGTGAAGCTGGACATCATCGTTTATGCCATCCTGGCGGTGGTACGGGCTGCACTGCAGCTTAGAGGACGTGTGATTTATCAGTTACCTGAAAGGTGTTTCACATGTCTTTGCCTTTATTCTCAGGTTGAAAAAACACAAACCTTTGTTCCTTTCATCTGGGCGTCAATGGTCAGTCAAAACTGAGATCTGGAAAAGTCTAAAGTGCATAAATTGTATTGATATTCACCTTCTTGAATTCTGTTTGTTTCATTGATTTCTGCTTAATTTACTGCAGCAGTGGAACAACGAGTTCATCTCATGGGACCCGGCTCAGTTTTGTGGAATCACTCAGATTTCGGTTCCTAAAGATCTGCTCTGGAAACCAGATCTCTTCATCTACGAGATGTAAGCCTATATCACACACAGACATTTACCTACATTTACACCAAAGCAAACACAAGCGGATTATTTAATTTAGACACATAAACGTTAAGATTTCGATGTTTTTTCTTTGTTTTTTTATGTGACAAACCAACAAAAAGTAGTGTATGATTGCAAAATGGAAGAAAAATGAAAACAGTTCACTTTTTTTTTACAGTTGAAAAAAGCGTAATGTATACTCCTAAATAAAATTCAGTGTCATGAGTTGAAGGCAATTCACGACACGGCCTTCTACTACAAAATGGTTGAGATTATAGCAAATTCATGTGTTAGATTCATGTGTGAAGTCCAGACCTAAATTAAACCGGATATCTGTGTCAAGACATGAAAATTTATGTTCTCAGATGATTTTCATCCAATCTGACCACGGTTGATCTATGACATAAAGAAGAATGGGCAACAAATAGAGTCTCTTTTAGATGTGCGAAGCAGGTGGGCACATACTGTTAGCTGAATATGACACTATGTGAGACTTTCCAGATATTTTTATTTAAACCTAAGCATTGAAACCCATGTTGGGTTTTTTTCACTTTACAAATCTACAGTACTTTATTTGAAATGTGCATTTAAGAACAACAATGTCAAGGCACCACATATGGTTGCAACTTAATAAAAAGACATTTCACATTTAATCATATCTTTTATTCAGATTTGATAAAAATACCAAATAACAGATTCAACAGAACTTTAAAAAATCCAAACAGTTCCCAGGAAACTATCATAAGTTTGGTGGACACTCTGAATTTCTTAGATTTGAGTATTTCTGTGTTGACCTTTGATGGGCCAGCAACCAGCTCTTCCAAGACCTTATGAAAAAATCCCAATTAATCAGTAATACTCCAGGCATTAGTACAAAGAGTGAAGTTCTTTTTTTCTTAAAAAAGAAACAAGCTAAAAGAACCAGCTTAAAACAAGAAATGTCAACATATGCAACAGAATACTAAATTACACAAGATATGCTTTCCTTATTGTGCATTATTTATCTCCTCTGTTTGGTAACTAGGTAAATTAGTGTACCATGTTTTCATTTTTACTAAAGTATGCAGTGCTGTTTACAGAATAATGATAAGCAAACACAGTTATCCTGCAGCTATAAGAAGAAAATCAATCCTCTGTTGGTTCAGTTTATTTCAGATTTTATGTAAATGCTCCCAAATGACACCATAAAAAGAAACATACTGTACATGTGTGTTTTGCATCAGGATAGAGAAGGACGACTCGCGTCAGAATCTGAACATATTGGTGAATTTTGATGGCACCATCATTGCTGGTGACGACATTCGTGTTGTCAGCACCTGCAAGATGGACGTCCACAGGTTTCCCTTTGACACTCAAGAATGCAGCATATCGATTGGGTCTGCAGTGTACTGCGGTGCGTTTCTGTCAATGTTATGACTGCCACATGGCTTTTATGAATTGCCTTTCATTTACTGCCTTGTGTCTCTGCCAGCAGAGAAGGAAATGCGAATTCTTCCCTCTTCGAACTCGACTCGGGTTACTCAGTTTTCACAGCAGATCATGAAGACGCAGGGAGAGTGGGAGTTCCTGCGTCTGTCTGTCAACAACTCCCTTCTTACCTACGAGAATAGAAGCTGGGACATGCTCATATATACAGTATGTAACGCTCACTTAACACCAGGTCTGTCACAATAACAAATTTTGCTGGACCATAAATTATCCCAGAAATTATTTTGATAATCAATATTGTTGTTTTTTAAACTCATAACATGATAATGGTATAATAATGCAAGTTCATCTGATCAAAGACTAATAAACATTAATTTTGTACAAAATACTCTACACTGGAAGACATTTTAAATGTCCAAAATAAAGCACAACAATCCAAAACAATAAATAAAAAAGAAATAAAAACCACACATAAATAAAATCAGAAATAACATGACTTCTGAAGTTTCTGTGTATAAAACTTCCCTTCAAAAATAATTAATCATAAGAGTGAAATTTATCTTAATTGAATAATTGCTATTGTGACAGGCTTATTTAAAACCTAGAAAAACAAAGTGAAGAAAGGCAATTATTATAAAGCTGTTTCTAGAAGTACATCTCTGCTTGATAAAAATGTCTTGGAAAAATACTCTAAAATTAATAAAGCCAAGTAAAACAATCTCAGTTAAATATTTAATGTTTATTTGTGTTTCCTCAGATCACCATAAAGAGAAGGCCCCTCCTCCATGTCATCAATTTCCTGTTGCCCATCCTGTTCTTCCTCTCCCTGGATCTCGCTTCCTTCTTTATCTCGGACCATCGAGGGGAGAAACTGGGCTTCAAAGTCACGGTTCTGCTGGCCATCTCTGTCCTCCTGGTCATCCTTAATGACATCCTGCCTGCCATGTCCAACAGGACTCCACTGATAGGTACAAACTGTGTACTAAACACAAATATATGTTAAACTTCTCAAACAAACAATACTAATACGGTTTCCTGCTCCACTTAGCAACCTACTGCATTGTGATTTTTGCTCTGATGCTGCTGAGTCTTTTGGAGACGATCCTAGTCACGTATCTGATTGAAAAAGATGAATTCAGCCTGCAGGAAAACCAGGAGAGCAAGCAAAAAAATACCAAAACTAAGAATTGTGATAAAGGTGAGAAGCATCATGTCAGTGTCATATTAATGCATTGGTGCTCAACTTGTTGCTGCACAACAATTCTGTCAAAGTTTACTCCTTCATATCTCCTCTTTCTTCCAATATGTAGATTAGTCTTTGACTCTCGGTGCTTTAAATAAGAAGTAAAAAAGATTCTTGGTTATAAAATTACTTCTCCTTTTGGATTTCATGAAAGGAAAGTTGCCAAGTTTGTTGTTTTATTCCTTCACTTAGAAGAACAGTCCAAATAACAAATTTAGGCCATATCGGCTAATACATAAATATTTTAAAGATTTAGATGCTAAATTCAAGGTTTTAAAACATCTGTAAAGTGATGGTTTTAGCTGTTTCTATAAAGTCCAGGGCAAAATTCTTATCTTTTTGTGCTTGTGCAAGTCTTTTTATTATACTTAATGGCTGTGGACTAATTGCTAAAAAAATATATTTTGCTTCTAGAAGGTGAGGAGAATACCATCTGTGAAAGCATCTGCAGAGATGCAGGAAAGGAAAAGCAGCATGAATTACTTGAAGAGGTATGACATCGTATATATATAATTATGTAGAAACTCATGTTTTGCATTAAATTTGGCCCTGCAAATTGTTTGTTTGCATGTTCCAGAAAGAAATTTCTACACAGATGCAGTAAAACATAGAAAACTGAAACACTTTTGGGTCTTTTCAGAGTATTTTAAATTTTAATAGGACAAACTGCGGCCTGATAATTATCATACAAGTTTGGAATATAGACAAATCAACATCCGCAGCCAGTTTTTACATTTCATTTAAAAATAAATTGAGTGCTAAAGCAAGTTTGTTATGGTGTGACTTTACTTATTTGTTGGTATTTCACTCTTCATACAATTTTTTACTCTAATGCCACTTTAGTAGTAATAAATACAACCAGAAGTTTTGAGATTAATCTCAAAATGTCCGAGTTTGTTTTGGCAAAAATTTGCTTCTGTTTTTTCTATCTACAACAGCCATAATATGCTGTGGTACAGTCTGCTTCAAAGAATGTGACCCAGGTTATTTATGCATTCTCACAGTCCAGCACAGTGATAGCCAGCCACTCTTGTCCATGAGTGAAATCTCAGCAGTCTTGCAAATTTGTGTCAAATAGTGTCCAATGCAACAAGAACAACACCAGCGTCTGATTATCTCCAGGTGAACAGCACTCTTCTGTCAGGAGAATCTCATGTGCTGCTGTTGATCCTGGATGAGCTGAAGAAGCTGCAGAAAGCTGTTTTCATCCATCTTGGCTACAGAGAAGAAAAAGTAAAGTTGGTGTCTTGGGCAAAAAGAATCAACAGATCTTTCTTCATTTGCTACACCGTCACAGTTTTCCTCTTTCTCTACTTTATGTTCAGAGAATGGAAGTCATAGAAACATAAGCTAATGTGTTCAAGTATAGTTGAATTCTGTGCTGTAGATCAGACTTGTTGATATTAACATGTGAAAGTTGTCCAGTTTTTCACCATTTTTGGCAGCTGTTTTGTACATGCAGCCTGCTTTGTTTCGGCCAGAAGACACAAAGCAGACTTCATTAAATACATGCACAGAGGCACCTTTAATTCAGCAGATGTCAGCAGACCTGCTGAATTAAAGCAGATGCGCTTTCATTGATCAAAGAAAAAGAAATACATTTTTCCCAGAGAAAGCTCCAGCTCCTTGAAGATCGCAGGACTCTTGATAAAGGGAAGTATTTGACTTTAGGAGAATTTAAATTTTTATTGTGGGTTTTTAAAATTCAGCTGCACATTGTAAAAGACAAAGTAAATAATTTACTCACAGTTTAAAGGTTGCATATGTACCTGACCATAAAGACATCCCAGTAATGTTAATACAGGCAATGCATGGACATATGTAAGAATATTAATATGGGGTCTACTGTCAGAAAAAATCTAATCTGTGCTTTCTTGACTGAGTCAATATGTTATCTGCAATAAATACATGAAAGTAGTCCGAGTGATTGGTGTAAACATTTCTTTTTTATTTATTTCTCTTTGCGTTCACACTATTAATTACCTTTTAAATGTAAACATTCACTCTAGTATTCTGAATTTGATGTTGATGTGCCATAAACACAAAGAAAAACAAGAATGCACATGAAAATAGAGGAAAAAACAAATGAGGAATTATGACCTGTTTGTTAATAAATTTGTGGACTAAATCACAGGCTTTGCATATTCTTCTATACAACATGATCTTATTCCAATTTCTAGTTGAAAAATGTATTTTAGCAAACAATTTACTGCTTATAATTTATAATAGGACATAAGTTGTCCTGTTAATGATGGCACATTTTTCAGAAAGATAATGTTTTTGAATCACAAATTCTATGTTTTATGATCTGGATGTAAATGGATAATTATCTTTTAATGTAAGCCACACTTATTCAAATCAAGTGAAGTTAACTCTTGAAATACATCAATCTGACTGTAATGAATCTATATACATATTTCGAATTTAATCAGTTTCAAATGTTCTATTTTTTGACGAATCTCCTTTTGGCATCTTTAAAGTTCTCTGCATGATAATGGATGACAGGAGAAGACCATTCGATGTTAATCCCAGGCTTTTAGCAAACTTCTTCTTGAAGATAGATCTTCTGTTGAGAAAATTGGGTTTCAGTGCTCAGCTGCCCACATTGAGACTGGCAGGAGACAACAATAAAACAAGTGGCTTTAATTGGGGACAGAGCTCATAATGTTGCTCTCACATTGTCTCAGTTCCATTCTAATCAAATTGTACATGTTGCATCATCTTCTCCTCTAACTGTGTGCTCAAGTCACAAGTTCAGAGCTAAATTGGTCCTATTATTCTTCTTGTTGACAGCAAGCTGTAAAGTCACATTATCTCTGGCTTTAAGCTGATGATCGTCTTCCACCTGCCTTTTATATTCAGTTTGGCTTTTTTTAAAATCATCTGTTGCAGAAATCTCAGCTGTCAGAAATATCAAAGCCAGATAAATAGCTGGTAATGAATGTCCACTCCCTCTGTAAGCTAATTATCTGTCACACATGTCTACAATGGAGGGATAGCTCATTTAAACGTGTTTGGTTGGACTTCCCTGATGAGAATATAGGACTGTCTCAGCAACACTAGACTGCAAAAAGCTCCTGAGATGATGCACATTTCCTTTTTTCTGCTTGTTATCATCACAGGTAAGTTTTTTTAAAATATGCATTTCTGTTTTAGGAATTTATTTAATTTGATAACACTTGTTTTTACCAACATTTCAAATACTTGTTGCCTACAAGCACTTCATGTAGAGATATAAACTAACTTTATGCACATTCAAAATGTACATATTGTACAAATGATTTTATTCAAGTACTTTAAATTTATAACTGAAGTAATTTTGAAGCTATAAAAGTTTTGTTTTATAAATAATCAGATTTTAACCTGATGATTCACCTTAGCAGCAGGTCATATATGGCTTCAAAACAAATCAATTTGTTAGCTGACAGAAATGTTGTCATTGGTATTGGTTAAAAAAAAGAAGATAAAACCAGCAGTTTATCACTTATAGGTGCATCTTTTGCATACATATTTTCAGTATATATTTTGTGACAAATAAATAAAAACTAAGGTGAATGAATGATAAAATTTCAAAGTGATAGTCTTCTTAATGGCTCCATTTGTTATGGATCTATAAATGTTATCGTTGTGATGTTACCTTATCAGCTTGTTACTTCTAAATACTCTCAGAACTGAAGAAGCATTTTGGATGAGAAGTGACTCTAATCAAGAAACAAGAGAAATCCAGTGGCTTTCATCTTTAGCATGAACTGGATGACAGAGAATCTAAATTAATGCAGTTCATTTTCAAAGTAATTATCTGTGTAAAAAGCAAGAAAATGTTATTGAAAATTTCTGTTCAGCAAGAAGTTTGAGCAGTTAATTAAGCTATGCTTATAGGATTGATTAAACCGATTCCAAAAGTGCTGTATTTCCATTAAATCCTTCAGTAACTCTTGTTATGGATTGTTTTTCTGTAGGTGAGGTGTCCTGTAAAGTTTGCAGTTATCAGGATGTTCTGGATTACTTAAACTTGACAGGGGATACCAGTGTGTTTAAATTGACCCGACCCGTTCTGGACCACACACACACCACAGTGGTGAAGACGGACCTGATCCTCTACGCCATTCTGTCTGTGGTACTGTATGCTTTCTGATGTGACGCTCATCAGTACGGATGTCCTGATTCTGATATTTTAATGGAAGCAATAATAATAATAATAATAATAATAATAGTATTAAAGCAATATTTAAAACTTTGTAAGAGTTTTTACACTGAAAATGGGTTGATTTTCAAATCTGTCTTTACATTGGGGAGCTACAAAGTACATTGTGGGAAAACTGATAAAATCTCTAAAAAAAGACAAACAACGAAGATCAGTAGGTAATTTCAGCCACTGACTTTGAAATAGAACACCTTGGAACCCAAACCAATACTTAGGATCAGATTGGGACATCCCTGCTCATCAGATAATTAATATTGGTCAATTTTCTGAAAAGATTTATGTCCCTGTTCTTAGGTTGAGAAAACCCAAACCTTTGTACCTTTTGTCTGGGTGTCAGTGGTGAGTCAATTAAATTCAGTTTGACAACTTTTGACCTAATTTTTATTCATATCTCAACAAAAATTACTATTACAAGTGTTGCCTTCCTTTTTTGAGCAGATTTTTTTTGTTACTTTTTGCTATCTGCTTTTATGTAGCAATGGAAAGACGAACGCATTTCTTGGGATCCAGCTCAGTTTTGTGGGATCACTGAGATTTCAGTTCCTAAAGGCATTCTTTGGAAACCGGACCTCTTCATCTATGAGATGTAAGCCTTCTGCACACAGATATTGACTTCAAAATCTGCACAAATTTAGAAAATTACATATACAATGGCTGAATATTTCAGTTGCATTCATATGAGGCACTGAAAATATACATCCAATGTAGCAGTCGAAACATACAAAATATAAATGTATTATACTTAAACTGAAACTTTATTGCACCAAATAATGTTTCAAGTTGCAGAAAAACAAGAATAAACCGCACATTTAAGCATCAAAATGAAGGTTAAAGGGAATATTCTGAGCAGGTTGGGTGTTACATGAGATATCTACAAAACTGAAACCAACAAGAATGAAAAAAAAAATATGGTAAATAATAATAAAAAAAACACTACATGTAAAATTTTCTTTCACTTTTAGAAATAAAAGATAAAAAAATTATTTATCAGACTCACTATGCAGGTTTGAATAGATTTATTTTTTTTAAATTTATATTAAATAGTTTACTGGACTCTCTTTTAAGGTGTATTTGATCCTACTGTGTTGAAATTCAACCTGACAAATTTAATCTAGATTTGAAAAGCAAAAACATACAATGAATAAATCTGATTTTAAAATCTAAGTGTAACTAAGAAACTTTATAGAAAGATTGTGAGTAAATTGCACATTAAGTTTTGTGGCTTTATAAAAAGCTAAATTTTAATATTTGCTGTTAATGCATTTGCAGAGGTAAACAACTTTATTGTGTGTTCATTTTTATTCAAATACATTCAACTGTTTGGATATCACTTTCAATATAATTATTGGCAAACAGTTCTATGACAGTGACAAGTTTAACATCTGTTAATGAGTTCATTATGAGCATGAAATGTGTCATCTGAATGTTCAGTATGTGTGAAAAATCATGTGTGTGTAAAGATGGGTGTCTTACACCTTGAACATTAAAGCAAGCACCATAACAGACTAAAAATCTCCAGTGTGTAGAGGTGGACCCTGCAAAGCAGGACTGTCAGAAACAGGACCCGCATGTGACTGAAAAGCTAACATGTAAAATAAAGTTTCAAATTGCGTTAATTGAAAGTGATTTTTAGTATCAATTTTTGGGGGGACTAGCCTGATTTTATTCATAGATTTAGGACCTCTAGAAAGGGTCGGCCCCACAACCCACTCAGCTACTTTCAGTCCTCCTGTGAGACATTAACAAGGATGTGTGTGTGTGTGTCCGTGTGTGTTCCTGAGTAATATTTCAGGATAGAGAAGGATGACTCTCCTCAAAATCCATACGTCCTAGTGACTCATGATGGGACTGTCTTTTATGACGAGGACATGCGGGTGATTAGCACCTGCAAGATGGATGTCCACAAGTTTCCTTTTGACACGCAGGAGTGCAGCCTGTCCATTGGTTCTGCGATACACTGTGGTGGGTATCTGTGAGTCGCCCCCATGTTTCTACAATAAACACTTTTAAAACAATGATACTAATGAGCAATTAGTACCATTGTATGCAAATAAATTTGATTGATTGATTAATGAATGCTGAAAAAGAATAATTAACTGTTTGGAACTATAGTTATGTATCATCAAAAGATATAGCTTGTAGAAATAAGTTACTTATACTGATCTTAAGCCCAGTTCACACTACATGATTTTAGAAAAGTCAGCCGATTCTGAAGACGTGAGAGAGAGACCACACACTAGCTGATTTAAAATCGTAGGTATAATGGGTTCGATCGTAGAGTGTGAGGTTTCACTTGAAGACATTCTGATCCCAGATACGAAATCCCTTCAAATTAAAATTCTTTGCTACCACACCTGAATTTAGAGTAAACAAACAAACATGGACAACAATGTTGAAGTGGTAACTTTAGTTTGCGGACTTATGTTAACCCAAAAAAGACGCAACCGAAAATCAAAGCTTTGGA